AGAAACAATGGCAGCAAAACAATAGAAAAAAAAAAGAAAAAAAAAATGCGAACAACGAAAAAAAAAAAAGGCTCAGTTTGAAAGAAATTTAAAAAAAAACAAAGAAGAAGCAGGGCACAAAAAAAAAAAAACAGTCAACGAAAATAATAATAAAAAAAAAAAAACAAGAGGGGTTTGATTTTTTTTTTTCTGCTTTCTATTGCAGAAATTTTTTTTTCTTTTTTCTACACAGATAAAACTTTTTCCTTGGCATCATCATCTACACACCGCGAGGCCATTTACACACCCTTCATCACCTGTTCCTAAGGAAGAAACATAACCACCACAATAGCGATGAGGGATGCAAACGATGCGCCTCCCAAGAGTGAAATTCCCATCAACTGCCCAGCCATCACCTTCTGTCCATCTGTCACCAAACCGGGTGTGATGGGGCCAAGGACCATGGAGAGAGCACCAAAGTAATTCGTTAGGCCAATGAAAAACATAAAGACATACGGGGCAGCGTGTCCAGGAATTTGTTTGAAGATACACAAGACAATTAATGGTACGAAGAGAAAACGGAGCAATGACACAATCACCACAACACGACGCGAGGGCCAGAACCGTCGGAATGAAGTGGAAAAACGACCCGTGGCATCACCGCAGTTGTATAGTAAAATGGCGATGGTAGCGAACCATTTATCCGTACGATCAATGGGAATCACAAGGCTGGGAAAGATGAATAATGAAAGAAAAAAGATACAGAAGCAGGACACTTGCATAGGATAAATAATCTTCATCACTGGCATGACAGATGTAGCCAACAACTGTTCAGATGTTGTCATGTTAGATTGATCGGGAATAGTCGCGGAATTATCAGGGGGTGTAGAAGCATCATTATCACAATATGCAACATCCTTTGTCTTGTCTTCATTTGCGTCTTCAATTGGCTCCATATTGCCGGCACCTCGAGAGTCATCGCCTTCTGCTTCTTTTTCTTCTTCTTCAAGATCACCATCGCGTTTCCGTTTAAGCACTCGAAATTCCGCCACGTGCTTCTGTGCATAGCTGTTGAAACGCAGGGATAATGCCATAAGGAGGGAAAGGAACATAATGACAAGTGCAAGTGAAAAGTAAATATGTGACTGTGTGAGTACAGACTCATAAGTGTCAGGCATAGATGCTTTAATAATGCATTGCATTACAGAGGCGACCACTCCGGAGAATCCACAACCAAACATCACGGCAGACATAAACTTGGGTGGCATAGTTCCCACCAGCACATAGCAAGTAGCCTCCAAGTACGATTTTCCCGCACCCGCCACGATGGTGACCAAAACGAATACGACAATGGCAGCCGTCTGTGAGACTTTCCCTTCGGGCATCACAACAATCACGAGCACCTCAACCATCATAAATGACAGAGCAAGGATAAAACGGGTGGTGAGGGAAAGACTACGAGCAGCACGAGTCAACACAGTAGGACCACAGAGAATTTGTGTCACCAGGGAAACAACGTTATAGAAGGTTAAAATGTTTGCCCAGAAAACCGGAATATTTGGTTCAGCTTCAGGGTTTCCAGTGACATACTTGTAGTAATCCACCATGTAGCTGGGTGCTGATGTTAATGCATTAATAGGCATTAGCAAAGAAACACCAAGACAAACGCACGTCACATAAACGTATAGCTCAGACAGTGATGAAAAAAGAAACGCCATGATCTTTCCGAGTGAAATCAATGTCAAATAAAACCGTTACACCTATTTCTCTTATACTTATCACACAAAGGAAAAGCTATCTGGTATCTTACTTTCCACATACATATATCACCAAAAAAAAAAAAGAAAGAAAGAAGCAGAAGAAAGAGAAGAAAAGAAGAAAAACATGAAAACAATGTGGCACATATAGTAAGCAACACAAAAAGAAAAAAAAAACACATACACAATAGTAAATGGGGTAAAAATACACCAACCACCCAACAACGAAAAATAAAATAAAACACGAAAGAAAAAAAAGAGAAAATGAGTTGCTCTAGATCTACTTGCGCGCCTTGCGAGTACCGCGGGCCTGCATGTTCTTGCGTGCCTCAGCAGCGATCAACTTCTCTTCACGCTCCTGGATCACGTTGATGCGGAGACCCTGTTGCTTCGGGAGTGTCACAGGGATGCTCTGCATGTCCTTGCCAATCACGAAGATGTTTGATGCCCGGGTGGCGAATTCGTGGCCAGCCGCATCCTTCAGGCGTGCAATATCGAACGCACCAGGGTGACGCTCGATCGACATGATCTCACCAATACGACCACGGTTAGCACCTCCTGTCACCATCACAACCTTGCCCTTTCCGGTCTTGATGAGGTCAACCACCTTCTTCTCCCTCAGGTTGTACACCAGTGTGTCACCGCGTTGAGTGCGGGGATCAGGGTAGCGGATGCGGTGACCGTCGTGTGTCACGGCAACGGGAATGCGGCCAGTGCTGGTGTAGATGTTCTCCACCTTCATCAGCTTTACGCCGGCCTCCGCCTCACCAACCTTCACCATCACGAAGCGACCTTTCACGTCGTACAGGATACGGAAGCGGTCACCGGTCTTGGGGATCTCCACAACATCCATGAAGCCCACAGGGTACTTGGTGTCACGGCGTGCCTTGTTGTCCACAGACACAAGGCCCTGACGGAGGATCATCTGTCCCTCAGCGGCGTTCAGTGCGTACTTGAGACGGTTGCGGATAATGATCAGGAGCGTCATGCACTCACGCAGCTTGTGGGGACCAGCACGGGGACGGGGAGCGAACACGCCCGTGAGCTTGCTCAGCATCCAGTCCTTGGGGGCATAGAGGCGCTTCAGGTGCTTCTTGGTCATGCTGAAGTAGATGTGCAACTCACTATTAGAGATTCAAAACAAGAGGAAAAAAATAAGATGCACAAAGCAGAATTAACCAGAAGGCATACTCATAAGAGCGATTTTTTAAAACCAGCACTCCCACTTTCAGTGTGGGAAGAAACAAAAGAAAAAAAAATTAACAGAAAAAAAAATCTCAAAACAATAAAACAAAATAAAAGAATGGAACCAACACCATTACCTGGCGCTGTAGATAGTAAGCACACAAATATGTCTACCTGCGTGCCTTGCGAGTACCGCGGGCCTGCATGTTCTTGCGTGCCTCAGCAGCGATCAACTTCTCTTCACGCTCCTGGATCACGTTGATGCGGAGACCCTGTTGCTTCGGGAGTGTCACAGGGATGCTCTGCATGTCCTTGCCAATCACGAAGATGTTTGATGCCCGGGTGGCGAATTCGTGGCCAGCCGCATCCTTCAGGCGTGCAATATCGAACGCACCAGGGTGACGCTCGATCGACATGATCTCACCAATACGACCACGGTTAGCACCTCCTGTCACCATCACAACCTTGCCCTTTCCGGTCTTGATGAGGTCAACCACCTTCTTCTCCCTCAGGTTGTACACCAGTGTGTCACCGCGTTGAGTGCGGGGATCAGGGTAGCGGATGCGGTGACCGTCGTGTGTCACGGCAACGGGAATGCGGCCAGTGCTGGTGTAGATGTTCTCCACCTTCATCAGCTTTACGCCGGCCTCCGCCTCACCAACCTTCACCATCACGAAGCGACCTTTCACGTCGTACAGGATACGGAAGCGGTCACCGGTCTTGGGGATCTCCACAACATCCATGAAGCCCACAGGGTACTTGGTGTCACGGCGTGCCTTGTTGTCCACAGACACAAGGCCCTGACGGAGGATCATCTGTCCCTCAGCGGCGTTCAGTGCGTACTTGAGACGGTTGCGGATAATGATCAGGAGCGTCATGCACTCACGCAGCTTGTGGGGACCAGCACGGGGACGGGGAGCGAACACGCCCGTGAGCTTGCTCAGCATCCAGTCCTTGGGGGCATAGAGGCGCTTCAGGTGCTTCTTGGTCATGTTTTAGGTTCCTTTCCTTTCAGTTGCAGTAAATATTTTATTGGTGAAGGGTCAAAAAAAAAAAGGGAAAAAGGAAGAGAAGGAAAGAAAGTAGCAAACTGATAAGGGGGAAAAATAGAATAAACAGATTAAAGAGAGCAGAAGGTAAAACTATGATTTCTTGGCATGCTATACTTGCCAGCATGACTTAAGAAAAGAATTTTGCTGGAAATTGTTTAGGTTTTTCCTGTGTTTTCTTTTTTTTTTTTTTTTTTTTTTTTTGATGGTGAACTACATTTTGCGTCATTCCTTTTTTTTCAAACGAGAAAAAAAAAGCAACACGTATAATATACATATGTAGAGAGAAGAATATATGTATATCTCACAACTATTAAGAATACCAACCAGCAGCATTTCTTTTTTTTTTCTTTTTGTTGTTTCGATAATAAGATTAAGGAAAAGGGGTGTGGGACATTATATTCGCTTGACAGAATTTCTATTGCACCTCTGAATAGAGAAGAGAGTCGGTGGGCAATCTTCTTCAGTCTCAACCATGGTGTTATCAGCATCTTCTACAATTGTTGTAGAACCATATCCTCGGTTTTGTTGATTATGATAAAGGCAACGTAAGTCAATTGTGACAACTTCATGTCGAAACACATTACAAACAGAAATCAGATTCCCAAAACCCAGTACTAAGTCCTCTGTCTCACTCTGTTTACCCCGACCAATAACCACATTCCATAAGAGTCCACTTGTCTCACACTCTTTAAGTGTACCATAGTTGATAAGACCACACATCACTCCCTCATGCTCTGGTTGTCGTACAAACTGAGTCCAGCCGTTTGGTTGGCAAGCAAATATGGTATTGTTTGAATCAGTAAGAACAACATGTGCAACACTGCTAAGGGAGAACATAACAGAAATAGCACCCATTTCATGATCAAAACGACCACCAAGAGCACCTATTACAAGATAGGTAGGCAATTTTAGAGATTCCACTAGACTAGCATCAGCACACAAGTTGCGTTCTCGATCAATATCAATATCTGAACCTTTGTTACCTGCGTTTGGATCAATACAACCGCCTGTTTGAAGTAATTTCAAACCCTCAGGATGGCGTAGAACAGGTGGTAGAGCAACATCATTATCATGAGGGTGCTGCTCCCGAAGTCGTCCTAAGAGAAGTAAAGCTTTCATAAAATCTGTTGACATTTGACAACGAACGTGCAATCTAACAGGTGAGAGGGATGGTTCACCCCTACGCTTCTCAAGGATTTTTTCCCAGTCCGCCAAAGAAGCTTTAGTTACATCTTCACCTAATGTCAAGAATTCAGCAACGACAGAACGGCATCTCTCGTGAATGGTATCGAGTACAGCAGATGGAATCTCCTTTACTGTGGCGTAGCCATCAGTGGGTGCAGACACGGGTGTCTCAATATCATCATTAGCATGCACCGATGTGTAAGAATCCATATCGCCAATTACAGCATCACAAAGAGGGAATAAACGAAACAACAGTAAATGAGGTTGATGTTGTTGCCGTTCCTCCACGTACGCGCGTAGACGAGGATAGGCCCCATCAGCGCAAACAAAGTAACACTGCCCAGTTGGTTGTGACCTCTTCCATTTTTGCGGAAAACGTTTTAGAAACAAGAGTCGCAGATACTCCTCGTACTCCCAGTGAGTGTTAGATGGGCTGTTCAGCAGCACAACACCAGACACCTGTTCTCCCGTGTCGTAGAAATCGTGCTGCACAACCTTGCGGCACACTTTTCGGATCGCTCGAGACATGAGGAAAAGAAATCTTTTTTAGTAGAACGGAATAGAGACACTCAAATACAAACACAGACACACACGGGAAAAAGAAAGGAGATAAAAAGAAATAAAGAAAGACACATGCAGAAATTAAAACAGACAACAGTAGATATATATATATATATATATATATATATATATATATATAATGTTTAGGTCATGAGAATGAAAATAAATAATTTCATGAGAGAAGTCACTTGCTCTAGAAGGTTTTTTTTTCTTCCCCCGATGATTCACCCTTTGCACGCCAATACGGGGCCTCGACTGTGGCCATAAATAAAAAAAAAGGAAAAAAAAAATAGGAAAAATCAAAAACAAAAATAAAATATAAAACAGTCAAAAAAAAAAAAAAAGAAATATAGCAACAACAACAACAACAAGAAAACATTTCGTAAATCCTTAGCTTTTTTCTTCTTTATAGTGCCATTTCTCTTTCTCTCTCTCTCTCCATCCTCACCAGAAAACATTCTGGTTGTTCGTATATTCGCGTGCATTCGCCTCTTCGTTTTTGTTATTTCGTCGACGACGCACATTACACGTCACTGCCAGCGCGAGAAAAACCAAGAAAACAAGAACATACACCACTATGAACGGTACGACCCAATTCCTCTGTATGCCCGGCTGCTTCTCACGAGGGACAGGAGTCATGCGAAAGGTGGGGAAGGGAAGTGGGGTTTGAATGGGCGTAGCTTCCATCCTATCGTCTTGCCAGAAATAGAATAATGTGACGAAAGAAGAAAAAAAGCAAAAAAAAAAAAAATAATAATTGTCAATATCCTATCTTTCGCTAAAAGAAATATCAGAAAGGCAAAGAGACGGTGATAAAGAAAAGAAAAGAAAAGAAAAAAAACATTATGTATATTTCCCCAAAACTGTTTTGAATAATAGATATCTTTAAAACAAAACAGCAACAGAAGTCCGAGACAATTCATCATTATACTCCACCACCAAGTTCAAACGAAAAAATTATGCTGAAAGCGTCTTTTAGTCTACCTTCCACGATATTCAAAAAAAAGGGTTGGGCAGAGTTGGGTTGGCTTTCAAACAAAAATGAAACTCTTCTAGTGAATGGTATGATAAGTATAACACCTTTCAAAATAATAATAATAATAATAATAATAATAATAATAATAAAAGGTTTCTTGATAACTTACTAGAAATTTTTCTTTACGAGTCACCTCTTTCTCAGAGCCAGCAGAAAGCATCATATTCACATTAAAACAAAAAAAAATAGAGGAATCACATAAAGACGCCCACAAAAATAGGACAAATAAATATAAACATATATATATATA